TAAAGCTTAAAGGGATACTCCACTTTTTTTTTGGAAATAGGCTCATTTTACCACTCCCCCAGAGTTAAACAGTTGAGTGTTACCATTTTCAAATCCATTCAGACCATTTTTTTTATATTTAGAAGAATATCAGTAACCAGACAGTTTCTGGTCTCATTGACTTCCATAGTATTTTTTTTTCCTACTATGGAAGTCAAGGAGACGAGAAACTGTCTGGTTACTGATATTCTTATTAAACATCAGAAAATTGTCTGAATGGATTTGACAACGGTAAAAGCCAAATGTTTAACAGTGTAAAATGAGCCTATTTCCAAAAAAAGGGGAGTATCCCTTTAATGCAAAATGCCCATTAGTCGGCTGAAAATCATTACACAAGATTATATTCTTCTACAGTTTAGAGAGCGATGTGTACTATTTGGACTCACTGGTATTACACTGTATGAACTGTGAGGGTCCAGATATGTTGGCAGCTATTATGAGTGTTCTGATGCTGCAATTATACTGAGTCCCAGGCTGCAACTGAGTAATCTGATAATTGTTGGATGTGGTTTTGAGAGTCTGATTGGGTGAAGAGATGCTAATACTATAGGAGAACAGGTTGAAGTTCCCGTTAGGGGGAAGCCACGTCAGATTGACTGAATTGGTGTTGACAGCGGAAACCACCAGATTTTGCACTGTATTAGGAACTGTGGAAACACAAACACACTTATACAACCATACACACAGTCAAATATACTGTAAACCTAATAGTGGTGTTAGGCTTTCGTTACACCATCAACAGCTTAAGTTAAATGCAGTGTGCTTGTGCTGTGCAGTACCTGTGTATGCGATGAGATTTACAGAAGAGCTCCAGAGATCTTTTACTCCTATGGTGACAGCAGTGATGTCATACTGACTACCCGATAATAAATTTGTGAGCGTCGTGTTTAAAGAGGTGGTTTGAATCGAAGTCAGGTTGACCACTGAAGTATTGGATCTATACAACACTTTATAGGACACAGTCAATCCATCCATTGATAAGGGTTTCGACCACAGCAAGGAAATAGACACATTAGTCTGACCACTCACGGCAAGAGCTTCTGGCGGGTTAGGCTCTGAGAGGGAAATATCACACACACACTATAAATTAACCTGCAGATGTAATAAATGAATTAAGGTTTTGTTTGATGTTCTCGTGACGAGATGGAGAGTGTGTGAAGCTTTTTTGACTCACTAGTGGCAGCCTGCAATATGTTAGAGGTGTTCTTCAGGACTCCACTGACGGAGGTGACAGTGATGTTGTAAACACGTCCTGCCATGAGGTTACCGATTGTGAAGTTGGTGACAGCAGTGGTGTTCATCAGCTCAGACACCCTCACTTCATACAAGTCCACACGACCGGGAGGAGCTGCCCAACCCACGGTCAAACTGCTGTTACTGGAATTCAGCACAGTGATATTCTCTACTTGTGCTGGACCTGAACACGGGTAAACAGACCTTCATTAACAAACATTCGCTACCATTCAAAAATTAGAGGTCAGTTTAAGAAGAAAAGTATATATTTATTCAGGAACAATGCATTAAATTGATCAAAAGTATCAGTTAAGACATTTTTAATGTTACAAAACTTTATATTGATCAAAAAAATCATAACGGTTTCAACAAAAGTATTAAACAGCAGAACTGTTTTCAACATAATAATAATAATAATAATAATAACTACCATCTCTTGACCACCAAAGCAGCATATTAGAATGATTTCTGAAGGACCATGTGACACTGACGAGTTTATTCAAATAAAAAAAAACAGATTTCAAATAGTAGATATATATTACCATTTAACTGTATATTTGATCAAATGAAAGCAACCTGGAAGAACATTCTTTCAGACTTCTTTCAAAAACATTACAACAAGTTTACCCGACCTAAACTAGTGAATGGTAACGTAACGTAGAAGTAAATTTCACAGCCATTGACATCCACACACAAACCTTGGATCGATTTACTCCACAATACAATAGAGACACCTTTAAACCCCCTATTCTTTTCTGCCTGCAGTACTTACTTGTGTTTTGAGATATCTCAGTAGCCTGTCCCGTAGTGCTGTTATCAGAAGCCACCGAGGTGACCTTGAAGGTGTATTTGGTGCCGGGTGCAAGATGTAAGATTTGCATGGAGGTTTGGTTAGTAGTGAGCAGGTTTGAATCCCAAGCTACTCTATAATACGGGCTAATGCCATTTAGAAGTATCCAACTCAGGTTCACTGAGCTCACTGTGATGGCGTACACAGACACGTTACTAACAGGGTCGGGGCCTGTAAGTGCAAGAGAGCGAATGTGGACCTTTCTGAGTGCAAGAAAGTCAACAAGGACACCCCAAACATGAAAATTCTGTCATTATTTACTCTCGTAATAAAACAAATGTTTAGCAGACCATTCACCCTGTTTTGTAACATACAATGAAAATGGTTGTGAGCCAAGGCTTTCGCAGTTTAAAAAGAAAAAAAGGTCTCAAATTTAAATTGTGCATTTAATTTCAGGGATGTCACATGCAAGAATCAATACATTTTGGCATGCCATGTCATTACCATCTTCATGCACAATATTTGTAAATGTAATGCACATAATGCACATGTAATGCAATAAATTTGTAAATGCACAAATAAGTCCTCAAACAAAGCCCTGAGTAATATGTGCTTTTATGTCCTTTCTAGAACTTGACCGACTGGTCATATAAAGGAAAGTCATTTGAGTTTGGATTGGAACAATTTAAAGATGAGCACATAATGACAGAATTTCCTTTAATCATTCATGTTTTACATGTACTAAACAAAGCTGCTGCTGCTATATAAAAATATTATCTTTATATCATACAGCTGTCTAAAAATGTATTTTCATTTTATTTAATTGATTCATTTGCGATTGTGATTGGCTGGAACTTACGTAGAGTAAAAGACCGATTGGTCAATGATAACTGGCCCGTCTCATTCAGAATCAGATGTATTGTGGTGGAGTTGAGCTGCGTGATGGAGGCATCTGTTATGCAAGTAGAGAAATGTTGAGAGTGGAGTGAATGAAAAAATGAGAAAAGTGCATGAAAGAGTGAAATGGTGAATATAAACGAGCGTGAAAATATCATTTTCCTAACATCATTGATTAAAACCACTAAAAACATTTACACCACCTTATCAATTGTTATTTAGAAGTAGTAAAGACTTACTGGTGGAGAAGTTTCCACAGCACACATCTGAGCAGTTGATTTTAAGGAAATATGTGTTTCCAGGCTGCAGACCAGTCACTATGATGCTATTCGAAGTGTTTGTATAGTTGGCGTTCTGCACACTACAAAATGACCTGTCTCCTACAAACATTGTGATTTCTGATGATGTGGGGTTTATCTTGTATAGGCACAGTGAACCTAAACAAAGACACAAAACCCACATGTCCACATTATTTGATGTTCCAAAACAGATTGAGTGGTTTAAGCTTAAAACTATTGGTATCATTTATCCAGGCTGTAAAATGCTAGCAAAAGAGCTCCATAGTAGAAAAGGACTTTACACAACATTATATCTTGGAAACATTAAACACTGAGAGTTGAGAAAATATGTGCATCTTGTTAATATATCAAGTGTAGCTGATAAGAAGTGAATTACAATACATTGCCCCTTACTTGGTAGTATGGATAGAAATTGTTGAAATGAGAAAATAAAAAGTTTAAAAAAAGAAAAGAAAGGGACTTTAGAGATGATTATACTTACAGTCAGAGTAAACATGAGGGATCTGGGGAAGAAAAAAAACATTGTTATCAGATGTATTACTTTTCTATTTTGCTTTCTTAACAGACTTAAGAAAGTTTCAACCTACAAAAGCACAACTTTACTTAATAAGTGCATTATGCAATATCTATTTCAGATATAGATCTATTAGGGGTGTCAAATATCATGATTTTTGATGCTTTTGAAGAAATGTTGTAGTATCGTGTTAGAGTGCATATTCTGTCAGTTGCAGTTCTGGCGTCTCTGTCCCTTTTGCTATGCTCTGTCCCAAACAAGTGTGCCGCACACATCCTTAAAAGTGAAGCCAAACTTTTCGACTGCCCCGAGGTGTCTGGTCCCAGTATAGGTCATAAACCCCACTCTCTCCATGTAATCTAATAGGATGTGAGGCAAACTAATTCAAATACATTTTTTTTTCCAAAAGTTTTTATCACGCTGACTATGTTCAAATGTTCATTTTTTAAAATAAGTTTGGTTTTAGTTAGTTATTTGATGCTATAAAAACGGGAGTGTGACGTCATAATTGACAGCTGAAAAAATGGACAGGTTCTCTGAGTGAAGTAGTCATTGAGGACTCAACCGACTTTTTTCCGTGATTTTCGAGATTGGAGCTTTAAATTTAATTTCTGCATTTCCTTAAACAAAAGACAAAGAGAAAACAAATCATGTACTGCTCTTCACTGAATAACTACAGTAGCTTTATTAAGAATCATTGCATGCACTACAGTGATGTCTATGTAGTGTTTTATATTTACATTTGTTCATTAAATTTTTTACTTAAATACTACTGTTATACACCTACTGTGAAAAAAATTAAAAAATACAGTTTATTTCATTTGCATATTATATTGTATTTGTAATGTAAATGTGCATTTATGTTCTTATTTTTAATAACAAGATAAAATAATGAAAAAAAGTTATCTTCGCACACCCCTATTTATGGCCTAAATGCTCAGTCTTTCTTTTTTCTTTTATATTTTGTTACCTTGTAACTTTACATAACAAAAGGGAAATTATAGTTACTGTACTGATCACTTGAAAAATAGTAAAACCAGCATGAAAAAAATCATGATAAAATGTAAAAAATTAAAAAAAAGTTAACAACACAGTAGAAAGACTATTAATAAACATCCTGAGCCAATGCTTTGTGTAAAGCTCAAGCAGGCCTGAGAACTTAGAAACACGCTATATTTACACATTATAGGCAGAAAATGAACGCAATTGCATGAATTTATTTCACATGACCTAAAAGCCCTTTAAACTCAAGGTGTTTACTCATATGTTTGAACTTAGTTTTGTAGAAAAACATTTGGCCCACAAAATTTTACTTACAAAACTAAAATATTATCTTTTATTAAGACAAATTATAGCCTACTTGGAAAAATATACAATACTTTTGATGAACACTTTTTGGTCACTACATGTTTCCCAGACATTCATGTCTTAGTTCACACAGTGTGGATGGCTTTAGTATTAAAATGTAGAAAATATAAATAATAAAGACTAAGCAGGTATATTCTATTGACAATCTATTCACAATCAGGGAGGGTAATATTTTCATTGGCCCGTTATGAAATTGACACCCACTGCCTGGCTGATTGCTTTCTTATCTGGGACATCTTTTGTCAAATTTGTAAAGGAAATGAATGATCTCTTTTTCTGACCCGCCACAACTTCCATATTTGTAACAATAATACTGTTCTATACTCTTTAAACTCTCTGTGGTTATTTTTATTCCAGCCACTAACAAAAATGTGATACAATAAATATGAATAAAAACAATAGATAAAACACATTTAATCTATAATCATGAAAACTTTGGTCAGCTTATGTGTTTGATCATAATGCACTCATGTGTTTGTTGGCTGAAACTTTTTAACCATCTGCATGGATAACACACGGATGTGAAATGCAAATGAGGCTGTAGTCGCATTAAAAATTAACTAAATCCAAGTAACACATTGACAATAATGCATCCCAAAATTTGACTTCAAACACTGCTGAAAGGGTCAGTAAGCACCTTATCAAGGTTTTAGTTATACAGTATTCAGGGTTCATACACATTTTAACCAATACTTTTCCATGACCTTTCAGCACATTTCCATTCCTGAAAATGTCAGTCGACATTATAAGATTCAGATTATTTTATTTCATGCCATGACAGCAGTCAGAGCTATTTTCATGGCAAAAAATTCATTTACAAAAATACAAATATCATATAAATACAACAAAAACAAAACAAATATAAACAAGAAGTCATATTATACAATATTTTTTTTTTAAATTAACATATGATAAAAAAATCCAGAACCTTTTCAGGCATAAACTCATTAAATATGTCCTTCAAAGAAGTAACTTCATAAAAGAGCCTTCTGCTTGCGTTAAGTCGAGGACAATCTAATAAAAAATGTTTGACAGATAAGGGAATTTTACAAAACATACATAAAATATATCGGTTAATAATCGGCCTGATATCTGATGGAGGAATTTGACAATCATTAACTTCCTGATTAAGAGCGTTCATTTCCTGAAAGTCCAACATGTCCTGGAACCCAGCAAAAAATAATACTGAAGAACTGATTTTGTAGATTATCCATTTTGATTAAGATGCAATCCACTAAAGGGTGATCAATTTTTAAAGTATCCATTGCTTGAAGGCAAGATTTAGAGTCTGCAAAAATTGTAGCATTTTTTTGTAGTGTATTTTCGATAGACTCCAAAGCTAAAAGTACGACATTATAATAATAAAAATATGCGTTTAAGTTTACCCTCAGAGGTTTAACAATAAAATGGATGACAATTTATGTGGTTCAATACAAAATAAACATTTATATAAACACGCAAAAAGTGCAAGATCTTTGAACACTGTAAAAAAAATTGTTGCTTTAACTTAAAAAAGTAAGTAACCTGGTTGCCTTAAAATTTTAAGTTGAACTGGAGTTGAACTTAATACAATGAAGGAGATTAATTTAATCATCAGAAACTCAAAATAATAAGTTATCTCAACTAAATAAATTATTTAAGTTGATTTGACAAAACAAACAAACGTCTCAGGTTACGTACAGTATGTAACCATGGTTCCCTGAGAGGGAACGAGAGCTGTGTTGGCTAACGCGATGGGAACGCTCTGCGTGATTGCATCATGAAGCCTCTGTACAATCAGTCCAATGAGAGAGTAGGACGTCATGTGACATCATAGACCAGGAAACTATAAAGCACCCTTGAAATCAGACCGTGACAGTTTCTGAAAAGGCCTGAAGCAAGTCGATCAGGGCATGCAGGAAGTATGGCAGGCGAACGCAACTCTCGTTCCCTCTCAGGGAACCAGGGTTACATACGTAACCTGAGACGTTCGCTTTCAAGGGTACTTCGAGCTGCGTTGGCTAACGCGATGGGAACCCCATACCCACTACGCCATGCTGAGAAATGCCCGTTCTGTGTGAAGTCCTTGCGCACACTAAGAAGCAAGCAACCTAGCCCCAGGAGTGGAGAGGTCAAGGTCATAAAATCTGACAAATGTATGCGGAGAGGACATCCTGCCGCATTACAAATATCAAGAAGGGAAACACTCTGAATAAAGGCCGTAGAGGCCTCCATACTTCTGGTAGAATGGGCCCGAACAGCCATAGGTGAAAGCTGTTCAGCCGCTTCACAAGCCAATAATATAGCCTCGACTATCCATTTGCTCATAACCTGTTTAGATGCAGGGGACTCTTTCTTGAGTGACCCGAAGCAGACAAATAATTGTTCAGACTTACGCCACAGGGCAGCTGTGTGAACGTAGGCATCTAATGCCCGAACTGGACATAACAGGTTCAGTCGTTCCTGATCTGGGGTATTAAAAGGTGGAGGATAAAAGTCCTGCAGCACTATAAGGCCCCCAACAGTTCAGATTATTTTATTTCATGCCATGTCAGCAGTCAGAGCTATTTTCATGGCAAAAATTCATTTACAAAAATACAAACATCATATAAATACAACAAAAACAAAACAAATATAAACAAGAAGTCATATTATACAATATATTTTTTTAAATTAACATATGATAAAAAATCCAGAACCTTTTCAGGCATAATCTCATTAAATATGTCCTTCAAAGAAGTAACTTCATAAAAGAGCCTTCTACTTGCGTTAAGTCCAGGACAATCTAATAAAAAATGTTTGACAGATAAAGGAATTTTACAAAACATACATAAAGTTGGGTCTTCACCTTTAAGCAAAAAAGCATGGGTCAAACTTGTATGACCCATACGGCATCTGGTGTAGACCACTTGATCAAATCTAGTTTTAAAATTGGTAAAAGGTCTGTTTGTTATTTCCGGATGAGTTTCATACAGCTTATTATTCTTGCACATATTCCACTCTTCTTGCCACTTATTTAAAATATATCGATTAATAATCGGCCTGATGTCTGATGGAGGAATTTGACAATCATTCACTTCCTGATTAAGAGCTTCCTTAGCAGCGGCATCAGCTCGTTCATTTCCTGAAAGTCCAACATGTCCTGGAACCCAGCAAAAAATAATACTGAAGAACTGATTTTGTAGATTATCCACTTTGGTTAAAATGCAATCCACTAAAGGGTGATCAATTTTTAAAGTATCCATTGCTTGAAGGCAAGATTTAGAGTCTGTAAAAATTATAGCATTTTTTTGTGGTGTATTTTCAATATACTCCAAAGCTAAAAGTAAAGCACGTGCTTCAGCAGAGAAGATTGAGCATTGTTTTGGAATGCGGATTCCATAGCATTGATGTCCAGTCACCATTGCTGCCGTTACACTATTTTCCACCTTCGAACCATCTGTGAATATAGGTACGTGAACAGGGAATTGGCTTCTTATGTCCAAATATTGATGTCTATACACATTTGGATGAGTCACTCCTTTCCTCTGATTAGTCAAATCCAAATTGATATTCGGCTTCTTTAAGTTCCATGGAGATACAGAATTGAATTGTATTTGATTTAAATTGTTTAAATTTATATTCAAATTCTCCAAATGTGGT